CGGGCCCACTCGGTGATGAGGCTGCGGGGGCGAACCCAGAGTAGCCGGGGTCCGGGTCTAGGCCGCGCCCCACTCAGCCTGACCCTGGAGCTCCCAGCACTCCTAGGTTTTAAGTCCTGGCGGGTGAGGGGGCGTCCCTTTGATAGCCCTCCTTAAATGCAGGGAAGAGAGATGGCTAACGTCAGGGCTCCCTGGGGCGCGCGGTGGCCGCCCTTCACCCCCAATTCCCCTTCCTCACCCCATGCACTAAGGGGCGGGCGGCCTGGTGTTTCCCAGCTTAATTTCTGACCAGGACAGGTGGTTGCTGTTGAGTGCTATCCAGGGGCTATGGGAGGGGAGGTGTCCACCAGAGACCTAGGATTCCTGGGTGGCTGTACCAGGTCCGCAGGGGCAGGTGTATGGAGTTGTTTCTGAGATTGCTATGCTTGTTTCCTCCGCGCAAAGGAGTCCCATGGTGCGTTCCTGCCCACCATGGCCAAGCCAACAAGCAAAGATTCAGGCTTGAAGGAGAAGTTCAAGATTCTGTTGGGACTGGGAACTCCAAGACCAAATCCCAGGTCTGCAGAGGGCAGACAGACAGAGTTTGTCATCACAGCGGAAATCCTGAAAGTGAGTGAGCTACCTGTGTCTTCCCTTTTGGCCTCGTGGGAGGTGCAAGGAAGGCTGGGTTTGGTATGTCAACAGGTTCTGTGGGAGATGAGTTGCTGGTGACGTTCTTTATGGGGCTGCTGTCCCCAGTACCAGGGAGACTTACATGCCTTTTTTCTGGAGATTCAGGCAGTCAGAACCTTGGCGACATGGTTCAGCACATGAGTTAGTATTCAGATGTCTATGCAAGGAAACCTACTTTACGATATGGGTTCTGTTCTGAATGTCATGGTCTCCACAGATGATTCGGGTTATAGCCAGGTGTAAGCTAGTAATTTGTGAGTTCGTGTGAGAAGTCTATTTGAATCCCTCGCCACATTCCTGACACCATGCTTTGCCCATAAATAAATGTTGTCTTTGCACTTTTATTATTATTTTACTTATTTACTCTTAAAACTTTTACTTGTTGATTTGGGGGGGAGAGAGAAAGAGAAACATCAATTTGTTGTTCCACTTATTTATGCATTCATTGGTTGCTTCTTGTATGTACCCTGACTGGGGATCAAACCAGCAACCTTGGTGTATTGGGATGATGCTCTAACCATCTGGAGCTACCCAGCTAGGACTTAGTTTTTGTGCTTTTAAAGTATCCCATTCAGAAACAACCAAAACATGTTCATCACCTGGTAAGCTGCCCCTTGAATAACACAGGTTTGAACTGCACAGGTCCCTTTAAATGCAAGTTTTGGGTTTTTTAAAAATTGAATTTATTTGGGGTGACATTGGTCAATAAAATTATATAGGTTTCAGGTGTACAATTCTATAATACATCATCTGTACATTGTGTGTTCACCACCTCAAGTCTCCTTAAACGCAGGTTTTTTAAATCCACCTGTAGAAGACCTTGACAGTTCAAACCCAGTGTTGTTCAAGGGTCAGCTGCATAAACAAAGTGGGATACATTCATACAAAGGAGTATTACATGTCATAAAAGAGGAGTGAAGCGCTCATACACTTTAATTATAACATGGATGAACCTTGAAAACATGCTAAATGAAAGAAACCAATCATAAAGGTGCACATAATGTATGATTCCATTTATATGAAATATCAAGAATAGATAAACCTGTAGAGACAGAAGGCAGATTAGCCTTTGCCAGGGTCTGGGTGGAGAAAGGAATTGGGAATGACTGCTAATGGATGTGAGGTTTCCTTTTGAAGGAATGAAAGTGTTCTGTAATTAGTGGAGGTAGTTACAAGCATTTTAAATATACTAAAAAATAAATTGGTTTAATTTTTTTTATTTTATTGATTTGAGAGAGAGAGAAACATTGATTTGTTCATGCCTTCGTTGGTTGATTCTTGCATGTGCCCTGACCGGCGATTGAACCCACAACCTTGGCATATCGGGATGAGGCTCTAACCAACAGAGCTACCCCACCAGGGCCTTATTTGTATGGTTTAAAGTGGTGAGTTTTATGTGATATAAATTTTATCACAGTGCTAAATTGCAGTGATGGAAAAAAAGTCTATTCTCACTCCACTGAGATGGAGTAGTGAACTGGTAATCCCTAATTTCAGAAAGGTCTGCTGCAAGTCTGCACCGTGGGAAATATGGTACAGGTCTTAGGGTGGTCTGTGATTGGCAGTTAGGAGACCTGTTGCCTGAGCACAGCCCCTTTTCATTCTTTTACCATCTCTAGGAAGTGAGCGTTGAATGTGGCCTCAACAATCGCATTCGGGCAATAGGGCAGATCTGTGAAGTCGCAAAAACGAAGAAATTTGAAGAGGTAGGTCTGTCTCAGTTGGGTTACCTCTGATGCAAGTGAGCTGTTTAGAAGCCAGATTTTAGAAGCCTGATATGGCTCTTTCTAAGGAGCAGTGTTGACAGCTAACTTTGCTGAAGAACTAATATACACCATTTTAGAGAATTTAACTTTTATCTTAGTGACAACAGGAAAGCTTCTGAAAATGCCCTGAGGGGCCAATCCTATGTGGAGATGGAGAACAAAGGAATTAAGGCTTTTCTAGCAGATCTGAGAGAGGGTTTGTAGTGGTTTCCAGAAATGCACTTTCTTCAAAAAAAATTGATTTCAGAGAGAGAGAAAGGGAGAGGGATGGAGAGATTGAAACATCAGTGATGAGAGAGAATCACCAATTCTCAGCTCAGGCATGTGCCCTGACTGGGAATCGAATTGTGACCTCCAGCCAGGTTCCTGGTTCGGCGCCCAACCACTGAGCCACGAGGGCTGGACCAGAAATGCACTTTTACTTGTCCTCTTATTACAGATTTGGGGGAAGGAAAAATAGAGGAGTGTCAGGGAAGAGATAGGTTTTACAGAGAACAATTCGAGGCACACCAGTCTCAGTGTCTTTTGGGGAGAGGAGTGTGGTTGATGGTATCAAGCAGCCTTACAGACATAGGCATATTTATTTTGGCCAGCTGTTTCCAGGCTCTCTCCTGACATCCAATGCTCTGAGTGGGAAGTTGTCCTTAGAGCACTTCAAGGGCTCTGCTCCAGCCTTGCACAGCTTTTGTGTGAGTGACAGGGTGGCGGGGGGAGATGTGGACCTCACACCTAGCAGATTCAGATCTGCTAAGGGTGACAATAACCTCTATCTGAAACATGCAAGCTGCACATTACCAAGGACAAATGTGAAAATAGGCATCTGCGTTCATAAAGTTGCCTGTATAGGTACAGAAAGGTGAGATGTGGCTGAGCTGCTGTCATGTGAATAGAAAGATAGGCCTATGAGGCTGGGATAGTCTACAAGCTTAGAATCCATTTTGTTGTGGCTTAGGTTGCATCAATAGGTGTATTGTGAATGGGACAAAGAAGGTGAAAGTTCAAGTGTATCCTAAGTTGGTCAGAATGTTGATCAGACAACATCTAAAAGACATTTTAGTCCCACTCCTAAAAGGAGTGAGTTCAAGAAAGGGTGAGTGGTCTGAAAACCTTGGTTGAAGGGAGTCTGGTATGGTTAATGTAGAGAAGGGAAGGTGACAAGAGAGAGATTCTGGGTAGCTGTAGGGAACAGGAGCCGGGTCTCCCATGAGCTAGGTGGACTTAGTTAAAGAGGCAGATTCCAGAAGCTTGCACAGAGTTCTTGGCAGATCAAGTCAGGCAGCAGAGGTGGGGCAGGGATGTGATACTGAGTGGCCCATAGCTGGGCTGGTGTGTTTATACAGAGGGAAGCCAGGGAGTAGATTTTTGTGTCAGGCTATAGGCCCAGGGACCACTGTGGTCCTCCTGGTTCTGAGACTCTTC